TGAATCAACTTTAACATGATTTAAGTTTTTTTTACTAGTGTGGCATAATTTAAGTTTTTTTACTAAAAAAATATATTAATAATATCTAAATATTTTTTTATTTTTAAAAAAAATTTAACCTAGTTTATAATGAATCGGGAGTCAAGAATCCAGGAGAAGAAACTAAAAGTAATCCCATTTTTACTTTGTATTTAATATACATCCAAACTCATTGTCGTTGTGGGTTGAAAAGTACAATGACGATCTTGCCCTTATTTACAAAGCACATATTACTTTTAAAGCCCTACGTATTAAAAAATAATGGAATGGCGGGGAGGGGCTCTTTCAGTCTTTTCATTTCATGTGGGCAATCGAATTACCGAGATGTCCTTGCATTGAAATTGTCTTTGCCCTTGGTCAAGGGTTTTTTTGATCTTTCCCTCTTTTTTTTTTAATATATAATTATCAAGTCCAATCAGGGCACTTTAGTGTGAATCTGTGTATATATATTATTAATTTATTTAAAAAGTCAATGCTTTCGTGCTGTTTGTACAGAACACTAGGTAATGTTCGACGACCAAGCTCCGGCTTCCACTACAACATAACCTCTGTTGTTGGGCGGCGCATGTGGCAAAAATATGTTGGGTTTTGTACTGGTAGTCGTTTTTTTTTCTTTCTCCTTTTTTTAAAGAAATAAACAATACACAGATTAAGAGAAAAATAAAACTCATGACTCATCAAAATCGATAATGATATATTCACCTATAATTTCTCTCTCATATATATATATATATATATATATATATATATATATATATATTAAAAAAATAGATATAAAATAAAAGGACATCACTAGCTATTTACTGGACACCATAAAATCTGCCCGTACTTAAATGATCACATTCGTGTTGTCTAGGAGAGTCCATGTTGCAATTGCAAAACCTACCAATTCTCCCTTTTGGTCCTTCCAAATTAACATCGAAACAAGTCAAACATCAAACAAATACGAGGGAGAGGCATGCGGCACTACCTTTGCCTACCATCGTACTGTCCAAAAAGTCACTCTAATGGCAGTAGCTGCGAAATGTCACCATAGACATCACGTCTTTGAAAGAATTGTGAGATTTTTGTTCAAAACCAATGAATTCTTTAAAATCTTTTGTGCTTTTCTTTTTCAAAGTGACAAGAGAACAGAGGAGCATGAAAAGAAAGGTCTGGACTGCTACTTTCACTTATCCAAGTTGTCTTTTTATGAGTCGAAGTACCCTTGCATTTGCGAAGATCTTGAGGGCGACAATTATGGTGAGTGGTGGATGGGCTGGGCAAGAAGACAATGCAGATCATCATCACTTGGAGCAACTTTACTTGTGCGGATCTTGATGCCGACATTACCGGTAGTTTGAAGGGTTGGTAGGCCATCGGTAAGCAACTGGCACAGCATCTTTTGTATGCTAAGAGCAGTGCGCAGCCAATCAATGCAAAAAAAGTTACTGGCAACGAGGTGCAACAGGTGGTTTTTATTTGGACATATACGCAGAGTTTTTAAATCCGGTTTGGTGGTCCATCCGATAGTAAATCTAGCTCACAGGTTTTACTCCGGTAGCAAGCCTAGCTCGCAGATTTTACTCGGATTGTCGAGTTTTGACTGGATCACTTAAATTAATTTTATTTTTTATATAAATTTAAATAATATTGTTTTAATTAAAAAATTAAACATGTTAAACAGATTAACCCACTAAATAAACTAATTTTTTAACTGATTTCAACTTTGAGTTAGCTGAATTTTAAATCGACCTGCTATGCCTGACCGGTTTTCAAAACTACACCAAAACTGAGTTTTTTTAAAAAAAAATTATCTTATTCATCACATGTGCCAGTGCCACACCTACAATCGCCCAATAAATTTAAGTAAATACACTACGAGTTTTGCTAACATCCGCGAGCTGAAGACTGGGAGAGCAGCCGAATCCATCGATTATGGTCCAATTCCAGTTCCTTAGGGACCTTAGCTACGTCTCAGCCCAAAATATCAAAGTACTTAAATAGGCCCATTTAAAACTAAAATGTTCGAGCGAGATTCACTCGATAATAAAATTTCTAAAATAATCACCGTAACGAAGACATGCTATAGCAATTACTAGCCGATTAACCCTTCTATGCCGTGTCGTGGGTGAGATTCTAAGTTAATTTTTAATGAAAAATAATTATAGTATTGAAAATGAATTTTCTTGTATAATAGAAAATTTTAATTGAGACTTAGAAAGTTATTGTATATGTTTAATGAAAAATACATGAAATAACAGGTCGTTAAAATAGTTATAAACACTAAGAGGAATTCAAAATAGAAAAATCAAATGACATGCACTTAATGATTTTTTTTATCTCATGATGCAAGGCGTTTGTCGAAGTTTTCTTCTATTTAATATATATACGTTATAACATCTTAAAAACACCCACAACTTATCAAAAATTATCTCTCTCTCTCTCCCTCCCTCCTAATTAAGCCGATCCCCAAAAATGATCCCAGCCAATCACCTCTTTCCTTTTTTAGTCAACTAAAAATTTATATAATTATTAATTTTATAACTTGTAAGATTAATTAAGTTATATATAAATTAATCTGAATATTTATATTAATAAAAAAAATTTATAATTTTGTTAAATTTTATAATTTTTTTAATGAATAAGAGCCCTAAAATCCATCCCCGTCTTTGTTCTCAATAAAAAAAATAGAGAGAGAGCACGTGATTGTAAAACTTTTTAAGTTTCCATTACTTATTATACAATCGTTAAAGATGAAAATAATTTCCAGTAAATTCTTATGTTAAAGATGAATTTATAAGAGACTAAAATGCAAAACTAATAGAGTGTGGTATCTAAACAAAACAAATCCAAATTAAAATAAAGAGTAACATTGAGGTACCAAAGTGTAGATTTAAGCTCATCTGAACAGGAAAAATCAAAAGGGCTGTATTTTTGTCGATATCAGTTTCGGTCCTTATTCTCCTAATTTTGTTTTTCACAATAATCTCAAAACTTCCAATGAAAAAATGGCACAGTATTCAACCCCTAGATAATTTACAGCACGTAGGAAAAGAGTTACATGCAATCGACAGAGAAAAAGAATCTAGAGCAACAAAAAATGGAATGTCAAGGACCAAATTGAAAAAAGATTAAGTTAGAGGACAAAAAAAGTAGCAAGAGAAAACATTGAGGTGCCAAGGATTAAATTATGCACGGTGAAAGGATGAGCAGTAACGGGCGCAACAATAAGACATTGATCTACAATGCCAATATTCTAGTTAAAATCGTCGGTTCCAATGTATTAAAATAAAATAAAAAAATTATTAAACCCTTACAGTGGAGACTCATTCAGACGAAGAAGGGAAACGATGCCTTCTGCTACAAGACCAAGAACTGCCAAGTTATGATTCCTAGGCCATAAAGGTGAAATTGCTGGTGCTTGGAAATAAAATTCTTGTTCACAACTCGTACCTAACGCACCTCCAATGTGTGCTGAATACTGTGCTTCACGATAAGACTTTGTACCCAGCTGGTCAACAGCTTTGCGAAAGTAATCTTTGATAGCACTCTCATATGCCGTGACACACCACCTTAGAGCTTCCTCAATTTGGTCATGCTTTGAGTACTTCTCTTGCAACTTTGGGATTTCTCCAAGAGTCTCTGTGGCATTTTCTATGCAGAGATCAAGAATGATGTAGGCTAGCTGTTTGACTTTGGTAGCTTTAATGGAACGAGGGTCTGATCTGAGAATTGCCACGCATTCTTCATAGCCTACGATTATTGCGCAGGATTTCTGTATTAGATCATGTTCTTTCTCCTGCACTGCTGCACAACCTTGGCTTGCTGAGATGAGAATTAGTAGGAGTGCGAGGAATAAAGAAGAGCTCATTTTGCTAACGAGAGTGAGTTTGGTTTGATATGGTATGATATGCCTGCGATATCTAATGCTTCCATTTACATTTTCTAGATTCTGCGACTTTATACACCACAAATACAGTTGTATGGGCCATGGATCACAACCAACCACATGCAGAGCTTTAACTTTTGCATTAAATTTCTATCTCTTGATTTGCTGCTACTGTAGAACTGTTGGCAAGGTCATCAGCATTTGTAGTTTTCTACCTGCACACAACCTTTTTCTTTTTTCTTGACAGCTAAATCAAGCCTACTATTTAATAATTTTCTGTTAGTTACCTAAATTTAGGTAGCCTTAACGCACCACTTCACCTCCCATGGTTCGTAACTTCTCCAAATTCCTAGTATTCAGCCCTGTAGAGAGCAGTTTTTTTTGTTTTTTTCCTGGAACTGTAGGGAGAGAGCACCAGTGACTGCATAATCCCAAAGCACTGTTTAGAAACACGGTTCGCTCTGTGTTTCATAAAAAATTATATTTTTTTATTAGAAACTAATATTTTTTATATTTTTAATTATTTTAATATAATACACTGATTTTAAAAACTAAAAAATATTATTTTAATATATTTTAATATAAAAAGTAACCACAGCAACCATACTGAAAAAAATACAAAATGACAGGAGACTTTTTGGCGTCCTTTTACGGTGCTCTGATTGCTGCGACACAGAAATTTATTACACATGACTTTGGCAGATGGAACCGATTATTTAGATCACCAAAATCGTTTAAGCATTGAAGAAGTGCTCATAGCATTTACTATTAAAGGAGAATCAACCGAGCCCCCATTTGAACATCTAATTTGGAGGTCACGCATTTAAAACCACGTGATAGACAAGTCGAGATTTGAACAGCTGGGAGAGGCTAGCCCTTGTACGGTCAAAACTCAAAAGCTCCATTCCACGCCTTAAGTTAAAAGGAAGAATAAAAAGAGAGGGAAGTTATCAATAAAGAAGCTTCACATCTGCTCTCAGGTTCCCATGCCGGATACAGCTTTCACCCTGTCTCCTTGAGGTGGTGATAAAACTTGGTAAGCTTCATTAACCAACTCAAATATAGAGCAAAAATAAATGCAAAATAATCGTGTACAGAATAAGAGTTTTATTCATTGATTGCTAATGTGAAACTATTGCAACTGAAAAAACAGAGAGAGAGAGAAGCTTGATGCTGGCCTGAGATATTAGCGACAGGTTTATCATGTCCATATTCTCGTCTGTTAAAGGTATAAGGGTCCAAAAATTTTAAACTCCTTTAAACAGAGTAATCTCTCCAAGGCTTCTTGAATGGCTGATGTGGCTGCTTCATGGTATGAACCCGAGTTCAGTTATGTTTTCGCTGATACAAATTATGAAAGTAAACCAATCCGAGTTATCCCCATCTCCCAAAAATCTCAAAGTTTCCAACAAAATAGTTTGCAGTATATGTAATTTGTTCAACAATGTCATCGGTGAAATTTATGAGTCTAGTCAATATAAAACCAATGAGGAAACGGGGATCATAATGGTGAAGAGAAAAATGACTACCAATATGGGCGACCATTAAAATATGATCCATCTCATGTTGGTGGTTGCCATGTCCCTGGCTTGAAGGTTGAACCAGATCCAGTTGGTTCTGAATGCCTACAAAAAAATATTTAAGAAATAGGTGTATGAGCGTCACTGTGGTGGCAATCATTTGAAAGAAAGAATCATGAAAGCAATGGAAATTTTAACACATTGCATAGTATTGACATTCATTTGTATATATTAAACATATTTCATAGGCAGTTCCCAAAACTTTGGCATCTTACCATACCTCATGGATGCAACCTTCAACAAATAGTCAGTTGTGATCAAGCTAACCCAAGATATATATGACTATTAGATTAATGTGCATTACAGATATGTGTGCTTACTCTGACAAAGGTTCTTTTGCTTTCTGTGCCCCTGCTTCCTCTTCTCTGCAAAATTTAATATGGCATGAAAACAAAACCAGGTCTACTTTCAAGAATGTAATTGCAGGTAATATTAATCAATTGCCAGAAATACTTCAAGGAACAGTACAACAGAAGCTTCAAAGTACAAGATATAATGATACTGTACAAGCTTGAATGATTTATCAGAAGCACAGCAAGTTCTCACAATTAACTAAAACAGTATAAACTCGGGTGGTCAATAAGGTTGTCAGTTTCAAACCATCACAAATACATGCATGATGCATGGGTGCAAAGTGGGAGCACCAAATCTTGGAGCAGACCCAAGAAGGTAACATCATTGGTTGAAGGAGCTAAAGGAACAAATTGAGTTGAGCGGTGTTGGTTTAGAAAAAGAAATCATAGCCAGCACAGGACCATTAAGATGAGAGAATTTGTCTTTCGACTAGCAACATAATGTGTGATCTCCGACCTCACAATCAAGGTAAGCAGTAAAATTAAATTATATCAAAAGCCAAAGATAACTGACCCCCTTCCTCTATCAACTGCATCTGATTCTTCCTCGTTACCTTTGAGAGCAAGCACCATAATGCCAAATCATGATTAGCACAGAAGTCAGCGGAGTAAAAAAGTATGCGCGTGAACATGCTTGTTATATTAAAAGTCAGTTGGCATGACATAACAAAACCTTTGGAAAATCCTTCACATGCAATGACATGTTTTGCTGTCAAGAAATACAATTCTCTAGTAATATTTCAGTGAAAGAATGTAATACCTTCAGTAGGAAATTGGTGAATGAAACTTTTCAAGTCTGGACCTCCAGTTTTACCTGTAGAAATGGTAGATGAATATGAACAATTACATAAGTATGATGATGCTGTTAAAAGAAGTAGAGTTGGCCTTTAGCAACTTACCAGTGCTCTTGGCTTTGTGACAACTGCTTTCTTTGGCTCTCCTTTCCTCTTCTTCTTGCTTGAGAACTTTGGCAGTCAAACAAAAAACATTTATTAAGATACTTGACAAAGCTAATAAAGTCATGTGAAGTGGTGCGGAAAATGAAAATGTTATCTCAATAGTCAACTTGTTTAGAGCAAAGGCCTTCAAGAACGAAGCAAAAATTATTTTGTCAAATTATGTAGAAGATAGGAAAAGAAAAGAAACAGTGAAAGATATCAAGGGTCCTCAACAAACCATTTATATAACATATAGATATACAGTGTCATGAAGAGACTGCATTCAACAAACAAGTATTTGCTATGTAGTTAAAATTAAGGGTTAACGTAATGATTTGAGGGCTAGTTTAGTTTTGCTTAGGGTGCTGTGAGCAGTATGGGGGTTGTGGTAATGTAGTTGCTGAGGTTGGATACAATAAGCAATATTATAGTCAACAAGCCAACAATAAAACTCATCAATGATATTATTAACCAGAAAATAGAAATAGGAAGAAACATAAATATCTATATAATTTTACAAGTGACTTACGTGCCACATTTTGCTTCACAAGTTCACGCCTTGCCTCCAACTCCATCTGTTCCTAAAGAAAATCGAGTATATTTACAGTAGAATAACACATTTCCAACATTGTAGCTCACTGAAATGAAAAACAGTAACACACTTAATCCTCCCATGTTTCTTTTCAAAACTGAATTGTCCAACCACAAAAATAGATATTCAAAAAGGCACAACACAATAATGATGCATGTAACTCGTCATTGTTAACTTGTAAAGAGAGACCGGGAAAGGCATGATGAAATCAATTCAGCCTCTGAAATAGTGCTCTTAATTTTTCATCAAGTTACTTAAGGGTAGAAAGAAGATACCTTAAATTTATTTGAAAACCATGAAGACCAAATTCACTATATGGAATTCATCTTTAAAATTCGAAAACACATTTGGTACAGCACAAAAATATAGAATGTTCCTGATTCTCTGAAAGAATGTATTCTAAATCCAAACAATGCTTTGAGTTTCTAGTGGTTTTTAAAATAAAAATCACTGGAGACCCATTGGGATGATACTGCCCCAAACAAGAGTAGAATCAATTCCCAGTTACTTAGGATGACACCAAGAGTTGTGTGGCGTGATGAATACATCATTCAAACTTTTTATAATAGCAATCATTGAATTGTCAAGAGGTGAGGAAGTGAACAAACCTGAACAATAGTTTTCGTGACATACAAAATTCCAAACTCATTGTCTAACATAAAAACCATAAATCACACACGCATACTGTTAAATATGTTTCAGCTGGAGAGGAGTTTTTCTTCTAGCTCCCATTTTTCTTTATGGCATATGCGAAGGAAAAGGATAGTGTCTATAATATACCTCAGGAGTTGGAGCCCTTTTACGCTGTCCGTTCAGCCAGCATATCCATTCAACTACAACGGCCAAATTATAGACAACATTTAGTGTAAGGAATAAACCATGCAGAAGAAGCAAGTTGCACAGCAAGTCCCTTCAGCATGTCTACATGTTGAAATAACATCTATTTTAACAATCATGCTTGGACTCGACCGCTGATTAGAGAAAACCAATTGATCAGAAAAGGTTCATTGAAAACTAATGATACTCAGAAACTTAGTACACAGTGTTGTGGTAAGGCATAATGGAATGCAACATTGTAACAGAGAGGGGAAGTTTTCCAAACTTCAAAATTGTACCTGATATTGAGGTTGGATCCCCCTCCCCTTTGAATATTACGCATCTTTTCTCTTTCACTGAAACATCAACAAATATACAAACTGATAAGAAGTTCAAGGAGGAAAAAATCTTACAGGAAGGAGAGAGACCCACTTACTGATACCATCGATCTCTTCTGTTCTGGTGAAATAGCGGTTCCCTACTTTGTCTACACCCACCAAAGTTCGGTTGCTCAGGTAGCCAGCAATCCGTGCCAACAGCTTTGACATCTCTTTCTTTCCTTTTTTCTACTCTTTTCTTGTTTTACTTGTTACTAGACACGCAACCTGAATCCTGATAAATTTCAAATTTCAATTTGCTTGGATGAAAGGATATCAATAATTCAATACTTAACAATCAAGTTTTGCTAACATTTGGCCTCCTATGATTCTGTAGTTTGCAATTATCCATAATTAAAAAAGAAACAAACCATACGAGCATACCAGTAAAAAAAACAGTTGAAGTTTTTGAGCATTTGTGTTAGGAGGTGAATAGCTAAATTAAGAACTGTAAATACGTTTTGAAGCGAGGAGTTATGTGTGAGAAGAAGGAATGGTCGTGGAAATGATCGTAGGTGGAGATTTGCGGTAGCGTGAGAGACTGAGGAGTGGTTGCGGCGGAGAGAGATCTGCGGTGAAAGCGGTGGTTTTGATGTTGGCTTCTAGGCAGCTTTTGATTACCGTCGAGACAGAAAACGGAAGCGGTGAGGAGGGCTATTTTCGAGAAAGAGACGAGAGAGACAGGGATGAGGTTAATGAATCGAAGGAAACTTAAAATATGAGTTGGTTTTTGGTAACTACAAATCAGTCCCCAATCTATACGATTATTGAAATCTCAATCAGTCCCCGTGATTTATTAAATTCATTTTTATGGATAGATATAATAATCCATCTATCGATCTGTGAAAACAGAGGAAGTTAGCATTATCGAATATGATGGTGACAACTCAGCACTGCTTGTATGGAAATTTTTACACAATTATTATTAAAATTAAAATTAAAAGAAACTTTAAAACATGTGGAAATTTTTTTGTTAATATCTTTGGTGAATTCACATTGTTTTTTTTTTATTTTTCCCCTCTCAACCAAAAAATATAAGTTAGCAATAAGAGGTTTTTTTATTTTTTTTAAAAGTCACATGTATCTTTTAAAAATCATTAGGGGCATAGAGGTCCTTTTTGTTTTTTCAAAAGTAGAATTATTAAAATGACCTTTCATGCCAAAAAAGAAGCATTTATCCGGGGCCTCTTGAGGTCATTTTCTTTCTTATTTTTTTTAAAATAGAATTATTAAAATAACCTTTTGTGCAAAAAAAAAAAACTTTTACATTTGTGTGGTCATTTTCTTTTTTAATGAGCATTATGAAGACACTTAAATGACCTCGGGATCAAGTAGTTCTAAAACTTTTATTAATGAGTACTTTTGTCTTTGTGTTTAAGTTTTTTTTTTTGTTATATTCGAGTTGATTCCTGGTATTTTTGTTTTTTAACATTAAAAAATATTTAAAAAATTATTAATAAATGACATATATACACTAGAGAGTAGATACCGTCCGCAAGCAATATGTGCAACAATACCCAGCCAACAAATATTTTTTTATTGTATTATTGAAACCATTATTGTTTTTTTAACCCTTTTTTTGTCAATGTTTATAATTTTAATAATAAAATAATTAAAATTTTATCTCTTTAAAAATAATTTTTTAAATTTAATTTTTTTCTACTCCACAACTACATACAACCCTCTTTGATACTCTCAAAAACTTTTTTAATAAAGACATTCTTCACCCTACAAATTGATCATAGATTATCAAAACACTACCCTTAAAAAACTTTCAACTTTCAACTGTTTTGGATTTCTTTTTATTCCTACTCAGGTATTTTTATACCCTTTTAAAAAACAAGATTAATTCTAATTAGGATTTATAGTTATCCCTTCTATTAAATGTGTTTTTTACTAATCAAATTTATATTCTCACCCTTACAGAATATAATAATATCTTAATCACTAAATTTTTCTATACACAGTGAATATATATGAGATGAATGGTTTGTATCTTTACTATCGTTATTTTATTTCATGGCTAAGTTTATGGACTTTATGTTACTAAATCCATATAAGTAAAATTGTATGTTAGAAACTATTGCGGGGTGCACGAGCGTATGGTAATGGTGGAGGCTCTTGTCATGCCTCCTAATAAGGAGTATTATGTGTTGGAAAGGGTTTTGAATTTAATCATAAAATTATAATTAGTGTTCAAGAGTTGCCACCTAATATTATGGTTATTAAGAACCTATGGTCTGCGTGAGTCTGAGTAAGGGACTAGTTGTACAAGGGAAAGACGCATCACCCCCAGTGCACCCTATCAAAGGTAAATTGTATTGTTGTTTGATTATTTTTTCTAAGTCGGGTTTCTATTCGTTGGTCTTTTCTAATATTCAAGGCAAATTTCTCTTCATAAGAGAGTCTCTACCTTATCGGGTTAAATCCTGATCGTTTCAAAGTCTGAATTTTAGCATCACATTTATTTACACATTGTATCTTTAATAAATGAAGGTGTAATTTATCATGTAATTTTTCTCCCCACAAATATCAAAGTCTACATCAGGATTCTAAAAAAATTAAAAAATATTTTTGACATGTTGGCCAAATTCTAATGGATTATCATAAACTAGTTACGATATCCATTTTTGGATTTTTTTAAACATGAAAAAAATGCAATTTTTGTTTTTGTTTTTTTAATGAAAAATATACTTGGAAAAATTTTAGGATTTGGCTGTGCGCAACAAAATATTTTTTTTCTTTTTGAAAATACTTTGAATTTTTTTTGAAATATTTTAGAGAAAACCAGGTATTTTAATACTAGATTTGTATTTTACAGTGTAAATATATAATCTGATATCATGCAAAATGAATAAAAAATATTTGAGAAAATTATAAATTTTTTAAAATGATTTTTTGAATTTTTTTTATTTTTTATATAATATTATAATATAATATATATTATATAATATTAAATATGTGGGCTAGGCTAGCCTAGCTAATTGGGCCAGCCTCAACCTAAGGAAAAGGAGGGCCAACATCAGCCTAGAATATTTTTTCATCTCTTTTGGGGTGGGTCGGACCTAGCCCATACATATGATCTGAGCCGAATCAGGTCTGACCCATCTTCCATATTAATTATTTCTGCAGAAATGAGAACAATTACTATTCATGTTCTACATGCAACCAAACGGTTGTAGAAGTTGTAGGTGGGCAAAGGAGAAGACTGCCGTCAGTGTTGGTCACGGATGTGACCAAAAGGTTGAGCGAATGGCCCAGGTGGAGTCGCTGCGAGGAATAGTGGAAGAGTAGGCAGTCGGTGGCAAAAGAAGCAAAAGAAGAAGAAGAACACGGATGGGACTGCAAAGAGAAGAGAGAAAGGTTCACGATGACTCTCGGTGGTCGGTTGGAGGCTTCCTGTGGTGGAGATAATGGTGGAAAGACCAATGATAAGGGTGGTGGTGGTTGAAAGCCACGGCGGAGAGAAAAAGAAGAGAGAAGACAGTGCAGAAACCGGAAAAGCTGGTTTTTTGGCTTACTTTGGACTCCATTTTTCCCTCTTTCAGGTCATGAAATCCTCCTTTATTTATAGGCAGTGGAAGAGGGCAATCTTGTCTACACATGGGAATAAATTTCAGCCTTTGATTCTATTGGGAAGGATCTGAACCATTGGCTCAAAGTAGACATGGTGCACTGTTAAACTATAGTTGCAGGCTGCCTAAGGTGGCCTCTTTGGAGTGGTGCCATGTCCATTTATGTGTCAGTGAGCCGATGATGACCATACCTAGAAGTAGAGGGATGTCCAGTGATCAGTTTCGTGCACGGTTTGGCAAATTTGATGGATGTTAAGTGCATTAAATGCACCTACAAAGGAGATGACCAAATCAGTTTTTTTTCTAAAAAATAAAGAAGATAATAAATAGTGATCAGACGACGTGTCGTCTACTACTTCTTTTTCTTTCTTTTTTTTTAACTCAAAATGGTGATGTTTTAGGTTTTAAATAGGGATTTTTTTGAAGTTCAAAGTAGTCCTTCAACTTTCGCTTTTATGCAATTATACCCCTAATTGACCTAAACTTTTGATTTAATGCAATTACACCCTTGCCGAATTTCAATTGGAACCCTGGATTTACGCGCCTTTTGCACACTAGTTCCTAGTCTCGGATTGTTGCAATTTAACCCCTAATTGACCATTAAACTTTTGATTTCTTCAATTTAGTCCTTGGTTTTTGTCAATTAGGCCCATATAGTCCAGCGCCTTTTGTAAATTGGTCCCTAGCTATGAATTTCTTTAATTTAACCCGTAATTGACCCCAAAACTTTAATTTTCTTACAATTTGGCCCTTAATTTCAATCAAATAACTTGGTAAAAATTAAATTTGGTCTCTTAAAATTCCAATCTTCTCAATTAAGCCCAAATTAGGCCCCCGAACTTAATGTTTTACCAATTAAGCCCCAAATAAAATTAATTTGACCCATTTAAAGTATAATCAAGTCCTTGCACTTAATTAAATCCTTTAAATGGATCCAAATTAACTCTTAAACATAATTAAAATTTAATTTGACCCATGATTATATCAAATTGGCCTATTTAAAATTCAATTATGTCATTGGGCTCAATTTTTATGCAAATTTGTCTAATAATCATTTAATTTGACCTTGAATTTGTATTTTTTTCTCCATTTTTTGGCATAATGGAGTACAATTATCCTTGAATCTCCTCCAAAAATTGCAGCTTGATTTCCTGGTCTGCTTTCTCTACGTTGCCAATCTTTATTTTATTTTATTTTTATTTTTATTTTGAAAATAAATAAATAAATAATTTTTTAGAGAATAACCCAGAATTTAGTCATGATAGAAACATAAATGAAAAATACATTTCTTCTCTGGTGTTTACCTTCTCAGCAAAATATCTTTGTATATATTTATTCCCTGTACAAAATCTTCATACCAAAAAAAACTTGAATATATAACTCTTCATTAATACTACTAGTTGGCTTTTTTATTAATTAAAAAAAAAAACATTTTGAGGTAGCAAGTTTATATGTCAATAATATTATATTTAAAATATTTATATTTTATAAAATAATTAAGCTATATATAACTACATGATATAATAAAAAATAATTTGCAATTGCACTTTTTATATCTCGGTCTTTTATTCTTTTATTGGAAGTGATAAAACAGTTACATTCAATATTATATACATGTTAGATAATCTTAACAAAAAAATTAAAACTTTTATAATTTATTTTTTAGTTTATGTTATATAATATAGCTAAATATCATAAAAAATTTAATTAATTTTTTACAATATTATCAAATATAAAAAATAATTTATTTTTTTAAATATTTATATTTTATAAAAATCACTTTTAAAAAAATATTTTTCATAAAAAAATGCTGAAAAGGCATGCATTTAAGTGCCCTCTTGTGGTCTAGTTAAAAGAAAACAGAGAAGCTATTTTTACCCCTTGGTTAATGCTGGGACTTTCAAATTTAGGATGATTAATCGGACAACTAATTAAATCATAGAATGATAAGTTATTATTGCCTCTCTAGGATTCGATTTATATAAGAATTTATTGCTACTAATTTCCAATCACTTTTTATTTATGATTTAATAATTCCCAATTAAAAACATTCAGTGTTCTTTTTTAGAAAATTTTTAACTTCCAGTATATTTGATGCACGTGAATGAACGTTAATCACCGTGTGCGTAGGCAATAATTAACAG